TTTAATGTGATCTTTTTTTGGTTTTGTCTATAATATCTGACTCTTTGATTTCAGTTTTCTGCTTTTGTTTGTAAAATGTGTTTTTACAGGCACCACATAAAAAGTTACTATCATGTACACTGTTGTTTGAGAAGCTAACACTGTTAAACAGGAAATTTAAACTTTTTACCCAAATGTTTTGTTAATTATAGCTCTGTTTGGCTGTGACTGATTATTTTTACTGATTCTTAGATTCAGATTCAAATGCGCATCGAGAAGGTGAATGTAAGCCTTTGACTTGCACATCTTTTTTTCCACCATATTAATGCATTGCACCAACAGGGTGATTAACAGAACTCATCACCAGTATGCTCGGGCCTAAGTCAGCAGCCTCGCCCTCACCCTGGCTGTAAATCAGAGCACAGACTTACAAACTTACCTCTTCCTTTTTACTCTGTCTTATTTCACTAACTCCTGATGTTGTGCTGTTTATGACTAACTATATTTGTCTCATATTTGTTCATATGTTTTTCCCATCAGTGGTGAATGTTACAGTAATTATTTAGTTTACCTGCATAGTGTATATCACAGTTCTCAAAGGGACACTGGAGTGCAGCCATTTTTTGCATTATTACTGATTATAATTAGAGAAAATTGGACACAATTAGCTTGTATGATTAGCTTAAGCTATTAGGCAATTATGCCAATTTTCCTTTCAGTTTTTTCTTGCCTGGATGTAATTTGGCAGTTACACAATCCAACATATCATACAAGTATATATGTATGCTTGACACTTATACAGGTTTTCCCTACCTGATTGAGCTGAGGCAAATTTGCTTCAAAATCTGTAAAAAGAAAAAAAAAAATAGAGCCAAAGATCATAACTTTCATTGTAATTAAAAGCCAAAGTGAGGAAAACCCCCACTATCATTATAACAGTCACGAACAACCTCGGCTTCTGTATTGAGGTTTAATCACTGGTTGTGTAAGACGAGGAAGGAAAGTAAGTGGGTTTTTACCTAATGGCTTTTCCAGGCTTTTACCAGGTTGATGGTCCAGGAGATTTATGAGGGAGGGCTTAAGTCCTCCAAACAGACAAGCGTCTCAACAAGACAGTCGGGCAGCTTCATGTTGCTCAGGGGGAAGAGAGGAGGAGGTGCGGTCCTGCTTAGCTGTTAGGTATCCACTGCTTCTGGTTGGCTCTGCTAGTTTACTTATAATTAATCACAGACCTTTGTCTTCCTGCTCTTAGTGAGACTTTACAGTTTATTTAAACTGGAAATAACCTTCCTGCTGATACTTGAATGTTAAAAATGTGAGACCACAGCAGTTCTGCAGATGTATAATAACTTAGTTTAACAGCTTAAACTGCTTTTAGAAAGGAAAGTAGGAACTGAAACAAACAGTTTTGTTTGATTAATAATTTGTCTAACTCTTCAAGCTGATATATCAATCATTTGGTGGGACTTATTTGTAAGATTGTAATCTTAACTTTTCTAAATTAGGGTGGATAAAGGACACATTTCTAGATGTCCTTCGACAGTTTTATAGAAGAAAGAATTGCAGCATCACTTTGCTTCTTGATGCTCTTAAATGTTAAAAACAACAACAACACAAATCCCCCTACATTTTCTTTCCCTTTTTCTTATATTATGTCTTCTTTGTATATTTTGTTTTGAGAGCCATCCATTTTTTTTAACAACTAGAATTAAGCTATCACTTCCTCTTTTTCATATTTTCCCCAGAACAGATCAGTTTCAGGTCTTTTAACAGAGCAAACAGCTTCTCAGCTCCTGCCGGCAAAACAATATCTGAGGCACACAGCTGCAGTAAAAGCATGAGAATGGAAACAAGCAGCTTGGAAAAAAGATGTCAATGTGATATCTGGTTTATACAAAATCCCACTTTTTGGCGAGGATCAGTTCCCTGAAAAATCGAGCATGGAGGCCATCTGTTTTAGCAGTTTGGAGTTGTGACTAATGAAATACCACTGACTGGCCAGTAATAAACCTCTCGTGATTAGTTCTTTGGTCCTTTTCTTCCCATTTAGAAAGACAAGAAAAAAATGTGGTGAAGGCAGTTTTACAAGCTTGAGCTGACTGAGATTACTGATTGTTAACATGCATTTCCCTTCAAATAAAAATATGAAAGAAGCAAAAACAAGTTGAATTTCATTTGCTGTCTTTGTTAATTTTCCATCGTAAATTGTTGCAGAAAAAAATGCTAAAGTTTCATCCTGGGGAAGGATTCCATCCCTGAATAACAGCAGTTAGACTGAGGAAGGTTTGCCTTTAAAGCTTACCCAAGGAAATATTTATATTGTTGGATTTTCCTAACATTTGTTAGTTAAAATAAGTTAATATCTAGTTAGTTAGTTGAAATAATTCAGACTTGTGATGTTTTAAATTTAAAGGTAGGTAAAATTAGTATAAAAATTACTATTAGCTGAAATTCTCAGTGGATAGTCTGATGAAGTAACTTGTTATACTTTGATAGCTTTTCTCTTGGCCTTCATTAAGCTCAATGAGAAAACTGTATTGTTAGATTTTATTTGAACCACCTTATTGTCTACAACCCTTTCTTATTTCAGAATCACTTAGAAACATTGATGGGTTTTGCTCCTCTGCATTTATCCACTTGAGGGTGCCCAGGGTTTTTCCAGAACCTGGTGAACAGTGTCCTCCTGTTTTGTGCCTTGGTGATGGAATGATGTTTAAACCAGAGATAAATATTTTTGTGTTGTTTGTCTTCTGTACAGTATTCTCTGCTCTTCCCGAGCTGCACTTCATCAGCTCAATTATTGGAAATAATCAATTGTTTCGGATTTGAAGAAAAAAAAAACACTCACATGCTGTGGCTTACATTTTTATGCTCATGTTTAATTTCTCAATATTTCCTGATGTTAGATGATACCTCCTGAGGGGAAATCATTAGAAGATTATATGACAATGCATCCGTTTTGAGTTGCAGCACGATTACGATTAATTTGGATCTTTCAGCATCTAAAACAACTCTTTTTCCACTCGTGCGGATATGTGCAGAGGTTTGGGTCGTCAGTAGGTTTGCTCCTCCTAACACACTGTAGCAGTGCAGCGTGCAGCAGTTTGAGGTCACCCGCTGCAGTCCAGCATCTCCGGTCAGCTTCTTCTTCTTCCCTCAGCCTGAAGCACCTCCGGATTTCCTGCTGGTCCGTTCGTTTTTGGCCTGAAAGCCGATAGAGAGAGAGGGGTGGGGGAGAGAGAGGTATTTTGGCACAACAATCGCGCTGAGCGCTCGCGCTGTTTGGTGGCAGAGTCGCGTGCTGGACACTGAGGGACGATGAGACCTGAAACTCTTCCCAAACTTCTTCTCTGTGTTGCATTTTCACTGCCCAACGCAGTGCACGTTCAAACAGGTAAGCTCACAGCTCTAAGGTAATCAGAGACACCGTCTTTGAGTATTTAAAGTATATAAGTGTCATTTTGTCATTTCATATTGCCACATACAAATAACCTTTAAGACTATTCTCGGTTTAGGGGGGTGCAGGAGGTTTTCAGGAGGGGTTAATATAAAGACAGCTAGCTTTAGTGTTGCTGCATGACTTCTTTAGCAGTGTCAAAAATAAGCTGACGCCTTTCCATCTATCATGAAGGTATCCAAGGCCACATAACCTCCAAATATCCCACATGACGTATTTTGCTCTCAGGCTTCCCCTCAAATAGGCAAACAGGATGTGGATTCTCTAAGTTCCTGTTCAGCTGACGAGGACTGTAGTGACCAGGTGTTGATTAGAAAGGATGCTTGCTTTGAAAGCTGCTGTCCTGGCTTTCAGCAGCTTGTCTGCCTGTCACTGCTGTGCAGGCTCTTTGAGGATATTACCTTTCACTTTGACCTCTCAGGTCAGGAAACTTTACGGTGCCAAAAACAAGCTAGCTCTTCTTGGTTACAGCCCCCTCCCCAAGCTTTGTCTGTCTGGTCTATTTTGCCTCCCAGTAAAGATATGAAAGAAGTCAGAACACCAGTACATGCTGAATTTCAACTTGGTGTCTCTGTTTGTGTCTCACAACAGCAGTTTCCTAAAGGTGCTTTAGATTGTAAGGTGATATGAATAATTACACAAATTGATTGAATTTAAATCCAGTGTGGTGAAGTCAAAATTACAAAAAAAATAATTGTCCAAAAAACTATAGACACAACTATATATATTTAAAAGGAAATGTCTTTATTATCTTTTGAAATGTTTTGCTTGGGAAAGAGCTAAATGTTTACCATTGCCATTAGGTGTTTGCAGTAACATTCAAGTCTAATGGTAGCTGACATGTACCCCAGTGATTTTTGAACAGGCCTATAGAAGTACCCCTCTTTGAAAGTAAAGAGAGGCCATTCATCAGCTTAAAGTATGACCTATGAAGTATGAATTGGTTTTGGAGATTCTGCATTCACAGATGTTTACTGCAGCTGTCCTTGTGTGTGAGGTCAGCAATCCATCAGTGCACCTTGGGAAAATATCTCTCCAAAACTGGACACTATGTCATTTAAACTAGCTACATTTGCAAGGTGGACTTTGCACATACATAATTGTAACCATGCATAACAGTTCATGATGAACTCTGTTTTGTGGGCATCTGGTCTAAACTTCATGAGACAGCAATGCACTGGCTTCTCATCCTACATCGGCTCAAGATGTCCATAGAGTTTAGTGAGTGTGTTATCACCTTTCAAATTCACTTTGAAATGTTTCTGTTAAACACAGGCCAGCTGGAGAGTTGATGTCCACAATGCAACATTTGGCCAGCAGAAAGCTTTCCGTATACAGTATTTGAACATTGCTACTGACAGCCTTGGTGAGAATCCAGTCCTTATGTTGTCTCTCTGGCTGTGCCTTCAGTGCTTCCTCCAGAGTGTGCGCCAGGAGGCCACTCGGTCCTCCAGAACCCCTACCGTAGCACCACCTTCAGCTCCAGCTGGCTGCAGCAGTCATCCCTGCAGGACTTCATCTGTGACCACTCCCTCACACCGGGCTGGTACCAGTTTCAGATTTTTGACAAGCCAGCGAGTATGCCCACCCAGTGTGTGGAGGTAAATGATGTTTTTGTAAAGGATTTTTCAAAGAGAGTGAGATCTGTTTACAAGTGTTGTGTTTCTTATAAATGAGCTTCCGAGGATGTTGATGCTGTGAGGAACTATTCTATTCTTTTTATCTGGTCTATTTCCTTCATCTACTATCTTCCCATGGAACTCCATTAATTTGATTTTGTTATTCAAACCATTTAGCTGACTCCTTACATTGTTCGCGTTACACATAGTCCAGTAGTGTCAACATACTATAAGATATGTTAAATGTACATTAGAGGAGGCCTATATGCTCAATTCAAAATCCATATTTTTATTCTTGCATTCTAATAAAGTAGCTTTGTGTGAGTCAAAGTTCAAAATAATCTTTGTTTATGCTTCACTGGGCTTTGGTGCATGCATGTTTATTACCTGCCTCGAAATATCCACTTTTAGTGACATCATAGAGATCCAAGTCAGGAGAACTATAAAACTAAGCATTTAGAGCAGTTTGAAGGGTGAGCTTCAGGCTCCCAGGGATTACTTGCATGTACACTGGCCTAATTATTTGACATATCGTCATTATGAGCAACAGTCATTGTTTAGAAATTTATAGATATTATGTAAGGTCAATCATAAAAACTGCATATAAGTCAAGTGCACAATCTTTTTTCACATTGTATAGAACTGAGGTAAATCAGCTTTATTAAAAGACTGCAGCTAAAACTCCAAAATAATTAGCTGCATTTGAGAATTTCCAATAAAAACTTCAAATATACCAATGAGAAGCTGTAAAAACACTCAAACTGTCCCCATATCCATCTACTGCAAGTAATTAACTGAACTTAGTTTAGGTTTGCTGAATTGTAACCTTTCTATTTCTCTATCAGCTTCTATAATTTGTTAAAACATTGATTGTTCTAACTTTGAGGCTTGAATTCTAGATGAAAGTCATTTTTTTAACCAATGTAGGAATTTTTCACCAAGTGTTAGAACAATTTCACAGGTATACTGCACAAATTCAGTCACTTATTGTCACCTCTATTAAAGGTCATAAAAAATAAAATAGAATTGCTTCCATCTTATTTCTTTGTTTTATATTCATGTGATAAACTTAAATTTATATGTATATAAATTATATGCTTGTTTAATTACAAATATAACCTGATAAGACGTGAAAGCCCTTGAGACCCCATCCATGTCCTCATGAGGGGAAACTCTGAGGTAGCCTGACTGTCATGCGAGTTGTGTGTTTGTGTGTGTATACACATATTTATGAAGGAGAATGAAAGGAGAGTTGGAATATGTCTTATGTGTTGTGGTTGGCCTGCTGTGAGCCTGCAGGATCCATCTAAAGTGTCACCCTCTCAGCCTCCTGCTTTCCCGGGGCATCGCTGCTCTCCCTGGGAGTGGGCGGAGGAAGGAAGAGAGGATTGCTGTGAACATGTGTTACATAACAAGGCGGTGTCTTTTTGATGATGTTAGCAAATAAAGAGTTAGATATATCAAAGCCAAGAACCTTTTAAGGAGAACCAGGGTATAATCTGTAATGTTATCAGATATCTTCTTTTGAACATTTTCTAAATTATTCAGTTGCAAAGTTATTTAAACCATTTCACTCATTGATTGATTTCAATTTTGGTGTCTGTGGATGTTTCAAACTTAGGTTTTCAGGGCATGTATGGCAGTACTGTGCTTACTTTCTGGCATTTGTTGTTTTTAGTAGAAAATTTTTATTTCTCTTTATTCCAAAATAGCTTTTACTGGTTTTCCTCCATTCTGGAGGATTTGTTTTGTGAAAAAAATGACCATAATACATCCATACATACTGATTCCCCCTCCCCCCTCTGTTTCCAAACATCTAGGTAAACCACTGTGGGACTCAGGCCCCAGTGTGGCTGTCTCTGGGTGAGGGTGAGTCCCTGCCGGGGCCGCTGGAGGTCAGGCAGTTGACAGCCTGCGCTGCATGGCAGTTTTTCTCGAGCAGCAGCAAAGAGTGCTGCATGTTTCGCATCCCAGTCACTGTCCGAAACTGTGGAGACTTCTATGTTTACCTGCTCCAGCCCACACAGGGTTGCATGGGTTACTGTGCACAGGGTAAGTAACAGTAATTACTGTATAACTGTAATGTAAAGCATGATTCTTATGCTGATACACTGCTCAAAAAATCAAGGAAAGACTCAATCATAGCAGCATAACAGGAATTCAGTTTAGTATTAGTGGCCGTATGATGCTTAAAGAACAGGGAACGGATGCTGGATGCTGCATAGCTGGAGGCTTTTTGTGTGAAGTTTGTTCTCCTTGTGCCTTCGTGGCTTCTCTTTCTCTTTCCACAGTCCACAGACATCATTTCTCAGTCTAAATTTGCTGTAGCTGTGAATGTGTACTGTCTCTCGCCCAGTGTCAGCTGGCACAGGCATCACTGTCCTTTGATTTCTACATTACGTGCTAATTTATAATGAAAAATGAAAAGGGGAAGAAATGAAATGTGGAAGCAAGGATGTATATATAAAGCGCAAAAACATAATCGTTTTGAAGTCATGCTAGTTTATAATTATCTGTTATAAATCTCCTGTCTCCCGAACAGAGATGTCAGACACTTTGCCCACATCATCGCTGCTCTGCGGTCCTGGTGAGGTGAACGTCGGTGGATCGTGTAAAAGTGAGGACCCCGCTGTTGTGTTTTTATGGCTCTCGCTTGTCTCCTCATGTTAGATTAAATACCAAAACACTTTGGAGGTCATATGGTCAGGAACACACCTCTCCTCTTAATGACCTGAGTCCGTGTCCCGCTGTCCTCTGCTCCCGGTCTCCAGTAGTGACTCAGACTGTGAATTATGCCAAGCCAGGCTTCAGGAAGTAGAGGTAGAAATTAGGCAGAGAAATAATTACAGACTACTGAAAATGTTCATTAGTGTGCCTCAAAAAACAGTATAAAGCTCAGATTTCTGATAATTAAGAGAATTTAGCATTGCTAAATTAATTCATCTTCCTGTTTAATTCTTTGCTGTTGTGGGATGGCTGTTGTTCTTGCCTTGAAGAACTCGCACCCAACAGGCATCCCATGTAAATAATGGAGCACATAGAATACCAGTGCATACTTTTGTCTTAGTCTATTTAGCCTTGATTTCTTTAAATCAACCGTCTTCTGATTGGCTGCCCTTCATAACAGCAGATTTAAAGAATAAGTGGGTGTGTCTTCTATATCTGAGATGACACATGGCGTATGTTCAAAAATATTTAAAATTAGAGAATGATGATAAAAATGTGGATAGAAGTACCTCCACATTTTTCAGAGGACCTTAAAAGTGCCCATTAGGCCGCAAAAACATGTCTCGTCTTTCTGCTCCTCCCCCAACAGCTAATCAGCCCCAGACTCCGTCAGTGCCAGTGGTCGTCTCAGAGGTGACAGGTAACACCGTCTACCTGAAGTGCAGCTTTGAGAGCAGGTCTAACAGCTCCCTGGGTTATGTGGTGGCCTGGTCCCGCCTCTCACCTGAGGGCCGGAAGGAGGAGCTCAAACAGGAGACCACAATCCAGACCTTCGCCTTTATCGAGCTCGACGGCTTCAACCTCCGATTAGGAGACAAGGTGTGCATGTGGGTGAACTAGTCCTTTAAAGAGCATAGTGGGACTGCTGTTTAGCCACTCTGTGTTAGAGGGAGTTTTTTAAAAACCAAATCTCAAAATGATTCAAAAATCTAACAAAGTATGTCTTCAGAAACTGTTCAGCAGGTTTTTGCTGGGTGGGCTTCTCTTATTTTTTGAGAATTTATGCAACCTTCCACTCATCAGTCTTCTGCAAATAAGATCTGCTATATAAACAAAGACGAGGTTCCTGGATTTCTAAGGCAGCAGGGACTGAAGGAATTACTGATGCCTGTCAGCATGTCATTTAATTTTACTGTGAGCTGCTCATGTGTTTAACTGGGCCAAAAGCCTTCGACACAGTCAGGAGTTTTTCTCTGCTTTTATTTCCTATCTCTACTCTCCTTTATTCAATTCATTTTTTCTTTATTACCATAACATTTGCTTAGTGTGGTGCTGTCAAGGCCTGTTGTATGAAGACTATGACATAATACCCTTAAAATAAGGAAAGAGTGCCTGGAAATTGCAATATAGCACACTATATTAAATACTTCATCTTTAAAAATAAACTAAAATGGAAGTAATATATGTACATCTCCCTCCCTCTGGTTCAGATTTACTGCTCCAGCTCCAGTTTCTTCTTGGACTCGCCCAGTGTCCGGGGTATTTCGGTGGAAAGTCAGGAGTTCTTTGCCGGGATCAGGGTAAATAATATTTATCTGACATTTATATTTGTGATCTCTCTTTCTATTTTTTTTGTTGATCATTAGTCTGCAGACATGTACAGGTTTAGACATAAGTTACAGTGTTTTGAGCTTTTTGTCCTGTGAGGTAGTCTGACTCTAGCGTCAAGGAAGGTGTTAGGTGAGCAGACTCAGCAGACATTTTGGGTTCCCGTAGATGAGCGATTTATTTACAGTGAAACTTAACAAAACTCCCCCAAATTAACTTAAGTAACAAAAGTCAAACACAGCAACACAACTCAGCTCTCCTCCCTTCTCTGAATCAAGCAGAGACTGGCTATATATAAGGCTATCAAGTTCTTTTCAATTAGTCTAGCCAATACCACAAGCTTGAGCTGAGGAATCTAAAACTCAACACAAATGACTGAGAATTAAATAAAGCTCCCCACTCTTCTGATTAACACATTTATACAACTAAATGGCCCTATATAAGAAAACATATTCAGCAAACCCTTTTGTATTTTGAAACAAACAAAAGGAAGCATTCCTATGGTAAAAGAAAGCCCTCCTCTTGGTTTAACCTGCTGATGTCAGACATGACATCATCAGTACTTTAAAAATCAGGAAATGCTGGGCGGGCCTTTCCCCACACCTGATCTACATGAAGACTGAAAACAGAAAAAACAATGTAATTATGCACAAATGACTTAATTCTGCAACATAATAAAATACAATGCAACATGTAACTGAGTGTTTGCTTTAATTTCTGAATGTTTGGTTTGCTGGCAACGTAATGCTTACACAAACCAATCCGCGATAGTCAGTGAGCAATGTTACTTTGACAATACCAAATCATAGCAAATAAATATATAGAGAGAATAATGTGCATAATGTGCAAAAAGTCAATACTTCTGGGACAAGTGGAGAGGATTACAACTGCTCATCCACTTTGTCACATGTCCATGTAAATAAAAATCAAGAGACGTGTACACAGACATAAAACATATTAAAAAAGAGAAGATTATGCTTTCATTTAGATTTTGGTTGTTGTTTTGACTCAGATCACTTAAATATCAGCTTATCGTAACTGTCTTCTTCTAGATGAGTTGTGGATAAACACTCGGTTTAAAAGACCTGACCACCCTCTCTTTCTAAAATCATGTTTTGTGCAGTTAAGACCAGAGGCGAGCAGTGTATCTGAGGATGGCAGATTGTATGAGATGGTGGTCGAGAGCACGGTTCCTCTTCCATGTCCAGAAGGGTCTCCAGCTTCTGCAGAGCAGTGCACTCTGTCCCTGCAGCTCAGCACAACAAGTGAAGGTGACCTGGTTGATCTGTAAATAATGACAGTGTGTACTGTTGCTTTCTAATAGCACAGGCTGTACTGTAGGCAGTTTACAGGGAACATTAATGCAGATTTTATGCTTAAAATGCATTTTTAAACAGCAGGTTATTAACTTGCAGTAATTTCTTAAATGATCCAATATGTGGATTTGATTATTAAATATAGCATATGATGCCATGTTAATTCAATGCTGTGCAGTGAGCCTAACAAATAAAAAGATATGATATATATAGTAATTTGATTACTTTTTGCAATACTTAAAAGGTATTGTACCTGTATGATGTTGTATAACATTTAAATATAAATATTTTTTATAAAAATATTAAATTACCCACTGAAACATATTCACAAATGCATTTCAGGTTGATGTCACATAAAACTATTTTACAGCTGTGATCTAGTAAACCGTTTGTTCTTGTGTTCAGAGATGCTAAATATGCTGTGCCTCTTTTTTTTTGTGATCAGTGAAGGGCTGCTCCCTCCCTCAATCTATGTGCATAAGAATAATTAAATCAGTGTTTGGAGAAGCTTTAATTGTGGTGTAAGGCATATTTAATCAAATTTACTATGCTTCATTTATTTCAGCCCATAGGAAAGTCTCCACCACTTTTTTATGTATGAATCTGTAGAAATAAATGAAAGGAGAAGGGGCTGATTACATGTTAATAAATCTTTGTAAATGTCTCTAACAGCAGGACCATTTAAATGCTGTGTTATTGCTATTTAGCTATAAAGAAATGTCTGTGCAGTACTTTTTTGGTGTTCTTTAATCCTTCAAATGAAGTGAAAATAACTCCTTGTATTGCAGAGGATGGTTTGCTGGGTGCAGATCTGTCCCTGTCTTCCTGTGTCGTGGATCTGTCTCAGGGTGCCTGTCGCGAGGGCATTTGTAGCCGGGCTGTGATCCACTTCAGTCCTGTAACCGACTTTGTTAAAGATGGCAACAGGACAACTGAGATCACTGTTAAACCCATCATCACACAAAACTTTCTTTGGAATGGATACTCACCAAAACCTGTCCAGGTGAACAAGTCAAACTATTAAACTCACACTCCCTCACCTCATCATGTATAATTTATTTTAAGAAAGAATGAAATTGATTTCTATATTTCAGATAACGGTTACGGATGTTCCCTCAGCCTACTGCTACTCCTTCACTGATCCTCACATAATCACATTTGATGGCAGGTACTTTAATTCAGTTAATAAGGAAGCTTAATCTGTATTAAGTTTTAAATTGTCCATAATAAAAGATGAGCTTTCTTTCTCGTTTTTGCACCATACAGATACTATGACAACTCCCAAATAGGCACCTTTGTCCTGTATAAGAGCAGCTTTTGGCCTTTCGAGGTCCACGTCCGTCAGTGGGAGTGCGGCAGCGTTGTGCATGCCGCCTCGTGTGTGTGCGGATTCGTGGCGAGGGACGGGGGAAATGTTATTGCTTTTGACATGTGCAATGGGGAAATGGGTGAAACCAAGCCTCAGCTGACTGTGAAGAACAGAGACTTGAGTAAGAGCGGCATTCGGATCACAGAGTCCTACCAAGGACGCAAAGTCACTGTGAGTGAAAATGAGTTCACAAGCTAAATAATTTCACAATTTAAGCTACCTGGTAAACTTCTTGCCTTTCTTGGTTTTTAAAGTTATATTTTCTTTTGTCAATATTTGACTTTTTGCAGATGACCTTTTCTTCTGGAGCATTTGTTCGTGCTGATGTATCTGACTGGGGAATGAGTCTGACACTGAGAGCCCCCATTTCCGACTGGAGGCACACTGAGGGTCTGTGTGGGACCTATGATGGACAATCAGACAATGACTTCCACTTAGCAGGGGGCGCCAAACTGGAGGATCTACATGCTTTTATCTCCGAATGGAGGTCAGGCATTCATGTTCTAATTGCTGTAAGCAATAACAGCTTATAAGCTACGTAGTGCTCTAGCTATGCAGGAAGAAGAAATCCCCAATCTATATATACAGCTCCATATATCAAATGCTTTCCTATAAGTTTTTTTTCTTAAATAGGCCTGTCCACTCATTTTCAACCCATTTTTCACACATTGAAAGGCAATGTTTGACCATGAATATTGCCAAAACTATTAAAGACCCACTGTGGGATTGTATTTAGTAGTATTGGTTTAGGTTAGAGAATGTATGTTTGGATTATTTCACTTGGACTTCACGTCCCAAAGGCTTAAATAAACAGCTGCAGCCAGCAGGGACCACAATACTGATATTGCCACTATGAACAATTTATTACGACCATGCAGAAAAACAGTTAGCAACATTTGTTACCTCTTTACTGACATTGTTTCCTTCTCTCTCAGGTTACCCCCAGGCAATAGCCTGTTTGACACTGTGCCATCCCATATTAGTACACTGAACTCCCGCAGGCACTGTACCTGCCAGGAAGAGATGCCCCGCTTCTCATCTCCCAGAGCCCCGTCTCAGCCAACTAGCTCATCCGACCCCAGCTGCTCTAATCATGGCAACATGGGTTTCCCCAGTGTCATCCCAACTCTGGACGTCACATCCGAGTACATCACCTCTGTGGAACTACTCAGTGAAAATGAAAGAGAGCCACTTCCTTCGAGAGCCTCAAGAGTTTCAACCTCAGCCTATCAACAACCCAGAGGCAGGCGCAGTGCCCAGCGTTTCATTTCTAACTCCCCACATCAAAGTCTCAGCCAGTCTGATCTGGAAGGCGTTACCTACTTTTCCCCAGAAGACCACGAACCTGCAGTTCAGCCAGAATCTCCCCTAACGTGGCCCACACCCTCTGGCCTCACCGAGCAGCAGGCCCAGGCCCAGTGCCGGCAGACTGTGGCAAACTCGAGCATAGTGATGGGTTGCAGGCACCTGCTGAAAGAATTAACAGTTAACCATGCCGTGACCATGTGTGTTACTGACCTACAGCTAAAGGACGAGCAGTCGTGGTTGAATGCGACTATACCGCTGCTGGAGAACGAGTGTGAGAGGAGGCTGCTGGAGGAGGGGGAGGGAGAAGAGAAGTACCAGGATGCTGTGGCCATCCTGAAGTGTCCAAATCTTTGCAACGGGAACGGCCAGTGCTCAAACTGGGGTTGTGTCTGCTTCCCAGGATTTAGCTCCTATGACTGCAGTGTGCTTTCTGGTAACATATATCCACATGAAGACACTTACATATAGTAGACAGATCTTAGTATTGTGATAATGCTGTACTCCCACAACATGATAATGTAAGGTATCCCTATGTTTATAGCGTAGTTGTAATATAGTTATTAGTTACATACATTAATCTTCCATTGGATGTCCATGATGACAGACTTATGATCGTCAGACATGTGGTTTATGATTTGGACTGAACCCCCAAGGGTAACATTTCATGTTCATCTGCACTTTTTGTTAATGTTGTGAAGACCAGATCCCAGAGATCACTACGCTGCAGAAGGATGGTCTATGCGATGTCCGTCAGGGAAACTGCACCACCGTCAACATCCATGGTCAAGGCTTCAAGGACTCCTACGAGCTCAAGTGTGAGTTTGTTAAAGAAAAGGTAATTTTCCTGCTTCTCTTTTCCTTTTATTCCTTAGTTGATGTACATCTTTTTTTCTGTAGTACCACCTTACAAAATAGCACAATATACCTTTTCCCTGTCTCTTCTGCTCAGATTTGCAGACTGTTCAGTTTTCACTAGCAAAATGACAAAATAAGTTCAGTTCAATTCAATTTAATTTAATTTATCCAGTGCCAAATCACAACAACAGTCACCTCAGTGCGCTTTATATTGTAAGGTAGACCCTACAATAATACATACAGAAAAAAACAATCATATGACCCCCGATGAGCAAGCACACTGGCAACAGGGGGAAGGAAAAACTCCCTTTTAACAGGAAGAAACCTCCGGCAGAACCAGGCTTAGGGAGGGGCGGCCATCTGCTGTGACCGGTTGGGGTGACAAAGGGAAGACAGGACAAAAGACATGCTGTAGAAGAGAGACAGAGATTACAAGAAGAGATTACACCAACCTGTAACTGAGTGATCAGGTTTCCCTTTGACCAAAGACTAATCACAGAGATCTTTAACTGAATTAATAACATGAAGTCCAGTTTGTTTCCCTGAGTCTAATCAGGAAGTGAGACACATTCATGTCCTTTGTATTAAACTGACATTAACAAGCTAACCATAGTGTGCATGGATGTAATCAATGTAATTTTATGTAAGATGTATAAGATGTATCAAGCTGTAAACACAACAATGGCACTGGAACAGTTGCTTGTTAACACATCCACATATGTAGTGCAAGTCCAATAATACGTCACCTTTTGGCATCTTACCATACGTTTAAAAGATGTGATATTTGTCTTTAAATGTACTGGTGAATATTGCTGCACAATAAAAAAAAAGCTGCACATTTTGATGACTGTAATAATGCGAATTATAGCCAGATGTTGCAGAATTCGGCTGACCTCTATCAGTAGATTTTTTTTTTTATACATTTATACCAAGTTAATGTTGTTTTCATCTTTTTATCCATTCATCTGTTTTTTTTCTACATTACCATACTACCTCACACATCCTATCATGTTCTACCTTAGTTCTTCTTCCCCTATTTGTCTCATTTTTAGTTTGTGGATGGGGAGTGGGTTCTGGACGAGCCTCTGTTTGTGTTGGCCACCTTTCTGGATGACACGGCTTTGGAGTGCCAGCTCCCCCTGGAGGACAGCTGGGTTTCTGCAGGTGTGGACTTGGAAACAGTGACAAACAGACCACTGGCCCGCTGGCAAATTAAAGTAAGTCATGTTTCCAGGCATTTTATGAAGAGCACACTGTGAAATTAGACATTTCATTAGGTCCTGCCTACCCATTTCAAACTCATCTTCTGCCTCTCTTACAGCATTTGTTTGTCATTTCCTCTCATGCTCCTGTCCGCTTCTCAAAACTAATGATAAATATGAACCTATACGCTTATTTTCTGACATATATAACAATCTAACAATGCATCAGCAGCAAATTTGCAGTAGGATGTTTAAATTGCATGGATGCAGTAATAGAAAGCGTGCACTGAGTGCAGCTGGAGGTTTTTCTCCAATTTCTGTTTGGCTTAGAAAGGAAAATGAACCCAGTGGAATAAAAAAATAGTTGAGTTACACAACTGACAAATATGTTTCCACAGTTACGTTTAGTGAAAATGTATTACAGAGTACTTTAGCATTTACACTACAGTGAGATCACAGAAGATGTTATTCTTAGTCTACACTGGAAATATTTATTTTTCCATTCAGACCAAAAGCCTTTTTTTTCCAGGGAGCTCATCGTATTATTCAGACCACTGTTTGTCTGCATTTCCACTGCAGTGAAGATCTACTAAGATTAGACCAATTAGTCCACTGACTCATCTGTTTGTACTCACTTTTCTGTTCTTTGTGTCAGGGTGACCGGTGCAAAGACAAATACACACCCACACACACATTCTCACACTCACAGTACTCGTAGGAGACACGGTGAAAGCCAGTTATTTTGGCTGCAAAATCCTGACAATGCAGTGCATACCTGCAGGAATGTACGGGTGCATTGGTTAGTGCTTTCAAATGTAATGGCTTTGATTGGAAACAAAAATTTTTTTAGTGTCTTTATTTCTTAGATTCACCACTTTGTGTTGTCGCTGAGACATCGTCCTCTTTTTATACATTTTCTAGCTTTACCATCACCACAGACCCACTCTGTTTGTGTCTTGCTTGCTCTCTGTTTTTTTTTCTTAAATCTTTTTTTTGTTTGGTTCGCTCTTCTTCATCTGGCTTCTGCTAGGTTTTTAAACTGGCACATGTTGGGATTGTCTTCTCTGAGTTTAAACAAACACTGTCAAGTCCAAACATGATATTTTTAGGATCACTCAGAAGTACCAAACTCAGGAGAGGCCAGCTTTATCCCCTGATAGAATTCCCAGAGCGGTGGTTTTCCCATGGTGAGAACTATGGGAAAATCCAGAGGAAAATAGTCTTTTGACTATATAACCCAGTGTTTGTGATGACCGTTTACCCTTTTCAGCCTGTTTAACGCCTTTTCCCAGTGATTCTTAGTAATCAAGCTTCTGTTGATGACAGGTTTCCAATGACGGTTACAGCTACAGCAATGCAAAGATACTAACTCTTTACGATGGAGCCTGCCAGATGTGCAGCCTCAGGACTGAAGTCGTCTGTACCCTGAGGGTGAGATATCTCAAATAATTTTTATAATTTACTTCATAGTTGGACAAGGAGTGAAATCTTTTGCTCTTAGGCTACTTTATATGTTAACTGTGAAACTTCTAATTGAACTAATTCTTTCTAGCAAAGTTCAAGAACAGATCCAGGTGTAGCATGGCCTACAGAGTCTGCCTGGTATGCAAGAAATTGTGGACTATAGATGACGTGCACATGCTTGCGGCTTTTATGATGTGTACATAAAATAAACTATATTAAGCAGCCGCTATTAGAATAAACATTAATTAAACCACTGCAAGTATTTAAAGGTATTAACATGAACAATTAAAACTGCTCTACTGAATTTTCAGCTTTTCTTTCTTATTTTTAAACTGAACACTACTCTGTATTCTGCTTAAAAACACTTTATAGGCTCAATAATTCAACAGTAAAACAAAACCAGCTGGGAAACACATCAGCTAGTCTGCTGACGGAAACCTTTAGAGGCAACAGCCAACTTTTAGGGCTTCTGTGTTGCCAGAATCAATATCAGCTTTAAGATAGCACATCACAGATTGAAGACTTCCTGCTCTGTGCAGCAGCCATTGTTTACAAATGCAATAATTTTTTAATGTAAAAGGTAACATTTCATCACTTGATAGGCAATAGCTTTGCAGTTGTATTTCATCAAATGCAGTCCCTGCTTTGCTTTCCGCACAGGTTGTTTACTTGCATGCACGCAAAGTTAGTGTTTGCTGATTGGCCAACAGACCTCAGATTCTGCACATGCATGTGAGGAAATCTGTTAATAGAGATTTAAGAAAGCTTAATTAGCAGGCATCTTTTGTACACATGGGTTTCGTATTGCTAAAACCAAAGCCTTTTTTCAATATTAGCTAATTGCTCACATAATTTTACAGTTATTTACATAATTTTTAGTTATTTTAAATGTCTTTGAAGCAATTTTTCTATCGACATGATAAACATCTCAAAAAAACTTCACTAGTGTAATTTCATTACTATTTTAAAATGTGCAGAAATCCAAAAAACTTTTTTCTATATATTAGAATCTGTGATCCTTCTCTCCAACAAGCCAACGAACAGGTGCTCTAAACAGGTGCAAAAAAGGGAAAACCCCCCAGCTGGTAACATGTAGGGAGGATTATCTTCTGCAATCTGCACCTATAACTGCAGATTTCTCATCTATTCATTTATTTCCTGTGGCTGTTGTGCACTCTGTGGTACCCCGGGGCTCCCAAACATTTGCTTATGCCTGCAGCCGCTCCTGCCAACAACTATTACATTCAAACTTTCAGCCTTATGTGAATGTGGGTGTGAAGCAGAAAGATGCTGAAATCAAGCATCCAAGCCCCAGAGAGGAAATTTAACTGCTGCTGTGCTTTGATATTACTTATACAACTACAATACACTAATAAAACACTAATTTGAAACTTCAACCAATAAAATATCTCTAATTAGATATTTGGAAAAATACCATTTAGAAAAGCAGACTTGCAGTCCAGACAATACCTTTGTTAACACAGTAACACAGACAATGAAGGTTTGGTCATCTTTAAATGAAACAACAAATTAATATAAAAGACGAGTCCTTCTCCTGCCATGGTTTAGCAAAGGTATAAACAATTTTAAGGTGAGTACACAGTTATAGATCCTTTGGCAGCTTTTTCTATCCTTCAGAATTGTCAGAATTGAGTCATCATGGATTGATGTCCAGGTCACAGGCAATAAGATAGGAAAAGCCCTTTGTGTCTCTCTCTCTCCTTCTGTTGATTTTCCTGTTTTGTGATTTCTGCTCCACCCTCATTATGTTCACCTGTATCAGTTGTTTTTACCTGTGCTCAATCATTGCTGTGTATATATAGTCCTGTCTACTGTTACCAGCCTACATGTTCCGTCTCTCATTTGACCTGTTTTTTAATTTTTCATTTCCCGTCCTTTTATTTCTGTTTTAATTTGGTGTTTGTTGTTTGTCTGATCCTGCATTTTGTTTTAGTCCCTTAAGCTTTCTTTTGTTGTTCAGGCTGTTTTGTCATTAATTCATTAATTATGTATTATTTCATTTTTAGAAATTCTAATAATAATGAAGAGAATGAAGACAAGTCGGTGTGTTTTTGGAAATGTTGTAAAAGCTTAATTTTAACCGACATGGAATAGATGTGTCTTCCAGTGGGTACATCATCAAATACATGCTGTTCATGATCTGATAGTGATGTAAAACACCAAAAATGCTGATTAGAAGCCACTGTTTCATTTACAAAAAGGCCTTTAATTAAGAAACCACAAAAGAGTCTTTTGTGCGACTATTTAAAGTTACTCTTGTCACAGGCTTGGGCAGATACAATTAGGGCTTGACAAACAATTGCAAATAAGACAGGACGCAGAGATGGATAATGTCAGAAACACAGTACACTAAACAAAAACAAAAACTCTGAATCTAAATCTGACACCACGGGTGTTTTGGACATGCACACACATTCCCCACTATCGGTAGGTTTGGATAATTGGCTTCTAAACAACATGTTGTGTGTTATTAATGTAAATAATATATGTTTGTTGCTTTCCAGGAGAAAACCTGTAACATTGATGGCCTGTGTTACAATGAGGGGGAGTCCCTTCCCAGCAGCCCTTGCCTCGCATGCCGTCCGGACTCATCCAAACACACCTGGTCCATTGCAGAGAGTATCTGCTTTTCTTTCTTACGTTTTTTTCCCAGTTTGTTCACATTTTAAAAATGATCAGTGTCTACTGTGATGGTGAGGTACAGTAACACAGTGTTAGACTGAAACTCCTCATAAGAGCTGAGGTTGGATACTCATCACTGAGTTTTGTAGCTGGTAGTCACTCGGGGCAGTTTTGATCCTTCATCAGCAGATTGGAT